GCATTCCCACACTTCAAGACTCAGGAAAGCTAGTCCTTCAGCTATGAGCCAGTTGTGTAACAGGTACGAGGAGACTGTAGTAGAATTGGGCAGTCTGAAACGACTTTCATTTATCTGGGTTGGGTGTATTTCACAGTCAACAAACTATGTTTTGAGGTCTGGCCACTGATACTGTGTGGACAAATGTGGCAGCTATCTCAGCCCACAGACAAGATAGAGTTGTGGAGTTATGTAGCATGGAAGCAGACCCTTCAGTCCAATTCGTCCTTGCTGAAAAAGTTTCCCAAACTAAACTAGCCCCACTTCTCTGCATTTGGCCCATATCCCTCTAAACCTTTCCTATTCATGTACCTGTCCAAATGCCTTTTAAATGTTGTAATTGTACCCACCTCTACCACCTACTCTGGCAGCTCATTTCACACACACACACACACACACACACACACACACACACACACCACCCTCTGCGTGGAAAAAGTTGCCCCTCAGGTCTCTTTTAAATCTTTACCCTCTCACCTCAAACCCACACCCTCTAATTTTAGATTCCTCTATCCTGGGAAGAAAGACCTTTGCTTTTCACCCTATCTGTGCCCCTCATGATTTTATAAACCTCTGTAAGGTCACGCTCCGCCTCCGATAGTCCAGGGAAAATAGCCCCAGCCTATTCAGTCTCTCCCTATCACTCAAACCCCCCAACCCCAGCTAAATCTTGTTAATTTTTTCTGAAATCTTTCAAGTTTAACAACAACCTTACTATAGCAGGGAGACTAGAATTGAGTGCTGTATTCTAAAAGTGGCCTAACCGATGTCCTTTACAGCTGCAACATGACCTCCCAACTCCTATACTAAACAGAACATTGTCGGCGTGGAAGGTTTGGACCGAAGAGTCTGTTTCCATGCTGTACGACTCTATGACTGTACTTGATACACTGCCCAATGAATGCAAGCATGACAAATGCCTTCTTCACTACCCTGTCTACCTGTGACTCCACTTTGGAGGAACTATGCACCTGCACTCCTTGGTCTCTTTGTCTGGCAAGTCTCCCCAGGGCCCTACCATTAACCGTACAGGTCCTGCCCTGATTTGCCTTAGCAAAATGCAACACCTCATGTTTATCTAAATTAAACTCCATCTGTCACACCTCCATTGGCCCATCTGATCAAGGTCCCGTTTTACGCTGAGGTAGGCTCCTTCACTGTCCACTACACTTATAAATGACAAAAAGCCATGGACCCAGCACTGATCCTTGCAGCATATTGCTGGTTACAGGCCTCCAACTCTTTTCCATCACCCTCTGTCTCCTACCTTCTAGCCAATTTTGTGTCCAGTTGGCTAGGTCCACCTGGATCCCATGTGATCTAACCTTGCTAACCAGTCTACCATGCAGAACCTTGTTGAATGTCTTGCTCAAGTCTCTATAGACAGCATCGGCCTTCATCAATCTTTGTTGTCACTTCTTCAAAAACCTCAAACACGTCAGTGAGGCACGATTTCCCACGCACAAAGATAATAAACAATTAAACTGTTTTAGTGGTGTAGGTTGACACAGTATCCATGGAGAGTTCCAATTCCCAACCTTTTGGAAATAGTGACAAATGTATAGTGTCAGAGGACAAACAGGAGTTTGATCATACCTTGAGATGCGGAGGGGGATTGCTTAATATTGGTATGTGAGAGAGGGAGTTCCAACTTGAGAGGAGTTTGGAGGGGTCTTCAGGAGACCAGGTAGGTGACAAATAAAATCAGCTAAAACTCTCAACTTGTCATTGACTCTCTCCCCAGCCCCTTCACTCACTTGCTTGAGTCACTCAAACTCGCTCTGCATACTCCAGTGATCGGTTTTCCTCAGAAGATGCTCTGACGAGAAGTTGTATTGGACTCGAAATGTTAACTCTCTCTGGTGCGCTATCCTCTCCTCTCTCTGTCTCTCTCTCTCTGTCTCTGTACACAGATGCTGCCAGATCTGCTGAGTTTCTCCAGCCTTTTCTGTGTTTATTACAATCTTCTGCACACTGTGCTAGGAGTACAGGACAAAAGGTACTGATCAGTGGGCCACAGAGCTAATGGACAATTAAGGAACAATCCCTTGAAACAAGGGGCATTAGTCATCTCGATGTTAACTGCATTTCTCTCTCACTGCAGGTGCTACTGGATCTGCTGAGTTTCTCCAGCACTTGCCTGTCTTTGTTCCGGATCTCCGACATCCACGGTACCTGGCTTTTCCATTTGATTGAATTGCTTTATTTTTCAGTCAACCCATACTTGTGGCAGTGCAGCACTCCTCCAGTGCTGAACACACCTGTCGGCTGAGATGGTGCATGTTTGGGGAGCCTGCAGTGGATCTTATAGCAGGGAGACCAGAATTGAATGCAACATACTAAAAGTGGCCTAACCAACATCGTATAGCCGCAACATGATGTCCCAACTCCTATACTAAACAGAACACGGTTGGCGCAGACTGGTTGGACTGATGGGTCTGTTTGCATGCTGTGTGACTGCTGGAGCTGAGATTAAAAAAAGCAGAATAGTGTTAATGCTGGAAATCTGAAGCCAACACCAAAACTGCTGGAGATACTCAGCAGGTCCAGCAGTATCTGTGGGGAGAGAAACAATGTGAGCGTCTCGTGTCCGATATGACTTCTTCACCGCGGCTCACTTGAGCAGAGACGCAGATTTACTATTTGTATCTCTTCTTCTGTTTTCAAGAGGCCAGGAGAGGAATGGGCCAACCCACTGTTCCTTTCCCCAGTCTGCAGGCTGCTGCACTGGCCCTGACATATTGGCTGGTTGTTAACTGGAACTCCTGTAACCAGGGTGATTGCGTAGAATTTTCTGAATTTGGATTACTAACTTCTCTTTTTCTTTTTCCTGTTTTTTTTTTAATCCTCTTACCACAGATTTCGCAATGAAAAGCCTTCATTTTCCCTACTTACATCACCCAGGCCTACCACAAGGAAGCTTCTTCGCTTGCCTGTCGGTCTAATAGTCTGCCTCCAAGGACCTTGAATGATGAACGATTAACGTTAACGACCGAACTGTCCTCAGAACTGTTTCTGCTGCCCGTCGTCATTGCTGGGCTCCTGAGATGGTGGCAGGGCTTTGAAAGAGGCTCGTTTCCTCACCACCACGCTCCTGCCTCCGTAAGGCTGCGGTGAGATATTTGCCCGTTGCATTTCTTGCTGTTGCTCTCAGGGCCGCTTTCCAGGTCGGTTCCTCGGCATGGCGACTTTGGCGTCATTGTCTGGCAAGGATGCTGCGCTAGGTGCTAAACCACTGACCTATGCCAAACCCCTGAACGATTTGGACTTCCACTCGGGAGCTCGCATCGAGGAGATAACGAAGCTGATCCAGGAGTTTGGCAAATATGAGATGAGGGACTTTGATGATCGGCAGGCCTTGGAGGTTCATACCGCCAAAGACTTCATTTTTTCTATGCTGGGTGAGTGCCCACAGCACACAGAGACCGGCACCATCATTTGTAAGGAACATTCACAACATCCAGTCAAATGGTTACTTGCACACAGCAAGCTTCCGCAAACAGCAATGTCCTCACCACCAGCTCATCTCCTTTCAATGTTAGTTGAGTGACATATGTTGGCCAGGACACTGGGATAGCTCCCTGGCTCTTTGCAAAAATAGCATCATGTGATTTTGGAATACTGCGTTCAGTTCTGGTCTCCCTGCTATAGGCAAGATGTTGTCAAACTTGAAAGGGTTCAGAAAAGATGTTGCCGAGGTTGGAGTGTTTGAGCTGTAGGGAGAGGCTGAATAGGCTGGGGCTATTTTTCCCTGGATTGTGAGAGACTGAGGAGTGACCTTATAGCTGTTTATAAAATCATGAGGGGCATGGATGAATAGCCAAGGTCTTTTCCCCAGGGTAGGGGAGTCCAAAACCAGAGGGCATAGGTTTAAGGTGAGAGGGGAAAGATTTAAAAGAGACCCGTGGGGCAACGTTTCACACAGGGTGATGCGTGTATGGAACAAAGTGCCAGAGCAAGTGGTGGAGGCTGGTACAATTACAGTATCTAAAAGGTAGTGGATGGGTACATGAATAGGAAGGGTTTAGAGGGATATGGGCCAAATGCTGGCAAATGGGACTAGGTTTATTTAGGATATCTGGTCGGCATGGATGGGCTGGACCGAATGGTCTGTTTCCGTGCTGTACAATTCAATGATTTGTTCCTGCTGCCTGTGGGTAGATGGGGTCCTTGTGTTAATGTTGCCACCGTGAGGTGGCATCCTGTAGAAACCCCAGCGCTGTTCTCCACAATTGCTCTGCTTCTGATTTTGATACTCACGCAAATTGCCATTGCTGTCAAATATCTAGCGCCGTGCATTTCAGTACCTTCTGAATTTGCAACAAAAGTCTTCGTCAGGTTATCGATCTTGCTCGATTCCTGACACTGAGTAGCTGCACAGAGCGTGTCAGCCTAGATTTCTGTGCTGTGGTCTCCGAAAGCGGAGCTTCAACACCCAATCTTTTGACTAGGGTGAGAATGTGTTAATGTGAGACTGTAGTGAATCCATGTAGAGCACAGTAATATTTTTAAGTCGGAGGTGGACGGATTTTTTTTTCTGAGGAAGTCTGTAAGGGTGGGTAAGAATGTGGAATTGGGACCAACATCATAGAGTCGTACATCACAGGAACAGACCCTTTGGTCTAACCATAATCCCAAACTAAACTAGTCCCACCTACCTGCACTTGGCCCACATCCCTCCAAATGTTTCCTATTCATGAGCTTATCCAAATGTCTTTTAAACGTTGTAACTGTACCTGCACCCAACACTTTCTCTGGAAGTTCATTCCACACGTGAACCACTCCGTGTCTTAAAAAAATTGCCTCTCCTGTCTTTTTAAAATCTCTCTCCTTTTACCTTAAAAATATGCCCCCTAGTTTTGAAAGCCCCCATCTTAGGGAAAAGTCACCTACCATTAACCTATTCTATACCCCTCATGATTTTACAAACCTCAAAACGGTCACCTCTCAATCTCCTGTGCTCCAGTGAAAAAAGTCCCACCCTATCTGGCCTCTCCTTAAATCAAACCCTCTAAACCCGGCAGCATCCTGGTAAATCTCTTCCGAACTCTCTCCAGCTCAATAACATCCTTCCCTTTAACAGGGTGACCAGAACTGGACGCAGTGCTCCAGAAGAGGCCTCACCAATCTTCTGTAGTTAAGCCCTGGCCTTAGAGTGGCTGAATGGCCTGCTCCTCCTAATTTATATGGGGGTCTTCCTCCGAATTGTACATTGCAGTTTTAACCTGGAAGCAGGTCATGGGATCAAACTAGTAGCTATGTATCTCCCATAATGAGCAGTAATCCTCATTCCATATGAGATTAGGTCCCTGCTTTAGAAAATTCAGCACTCACATGTTTGAAAGCTAAATTTAACCTGACAATATCTGAACTATGGACTTTTCTTACAAGATTGCAAAGGCCAATGGACCTTTTAGTTTTGCTTTGTGGATTAAGATGCTTACACTTTGCAGTATATTGTAACTAGTATGCTGAAATTGTTATAACTATGCAATTTTTTTATTTTACACTCTTAAAAAAAGTCATGCCTTGGCTGTTAAGGATTACAATTTTTCATAATTTGTATCACCACAGCCATATGGCATCTTCCTTCCTGGTTTCTCAGCAGTCCAACAATCGATGTATGTATATGTTATAGCTCTTTCCTCAGCACGCTAGACACACCTATCCAACTTCCTTGGCCCTCTGAATTGCCATTCAGCCCCTCGAGACAGACTTGTCATTCAGTCAGATCGTGGCCAATATGCAAAGGTTCAGCCTGTCTGCTGTGGTCTTCCTTCATACTCGGCAAAACAGAAATCCAGCAAACTCCATTTGAAAAGTTCAATTTTGTCCTCTCAGTCTGGGCCTCACCTATAACACCATTAGAAATTTCTGTCTCCATCTCTCTCTCTCTTTTCCACCCCCCCCACCTTCTGTCTGTCTCACTCTCATGTTCTCACTCTTTCTTTCCCTGTCTCTCTCTCTCTCACCTCCTCTCAACCTCTCTCTGATATTCTCTCTGTCTCTGTCTTAAAAGACATCTGAATGGGTACATGAATAGGAAGCGTTTAGAGGGATATGGGCCAAATGCTGGCAGATGGGACTGGATCTGTTTAGATAGCTGGTCAGCGTGGGCGCGTGGGACCGAAGGGTATGTTTCCATGCTGTACATCTCTTTGACTCTAATATGAATAGGTATAGGCCATTCAGCCCCTTGAGCTTGGTCTGTCTTTCAATAGCATCACGGCTGATCCGATATTCCTCCTGTCCACTTTCCTGCAGTCTCCTCAAAAGCCTTGATTCCCCTACCTAACCTCAGCAACCATTGCTCTTTGAAAGGTGACGTGCTACCTGATGTCTAAACAGCCTGAATCTAATTTTCAGATGGTCTTGGACAGTTATTTAAACAGGAACAACATGCAGGGTTACTGAAGCCCAGTCAGGGAGCTGGTGCAGACACAATGGGCAGAATGGTCTCCATCTGCATTGCAACACTTGATGTGTGAGGTATTAACAGGTTCTACTTTAGTCGCTGGATCTGATCATGAACTATTGAGATTTCTCTGATCCTCCCTCTTCAAATCTTTAATTTTTTCAGTTAAACTATTTTGCCTTGAAGTTGACACCTATATCAATCACTTGCTGCTATCCATGTCCTTTTTGAATTCAATTCCATCCCAATAGTCCTGTGCCCACAGTCAGGTCCTTGGCTCACTTTCTGCTGACATTTCATCCTTTTGAAGTTTAGTCACTTGTAAAGCAGGAAATACGGAAGCTAATTTGTGCACAGCAAGATCCCATAACAGCAATGCAATTATAGAATCATACAGCGCAGAAACAAACTGTGCAGTCCAACCTGTCTATGCCGACTAAATGTCCCAATCTGACCTAGTCGCATTTGGCCCATATCCCTCTAAACCCTTCCTATTCATGTACCCATCCAGATGCCTTTTAGTGTTGTAATTCTGTCCGTCTCCACCACTTCCTCTGGCAGCTTTGTTCCATAAACACACCACCTCTGCGTGAAAAAGTTACCCCTCGGCTTCTTTTTAAATCTTTCCCCTCCTTAAACCTATGTCCTCTAGTTCTGGATTCCCTAGACCTTGGCTATTCACCCTATCCATGCCCCTCATGATTTTATAAGGTCATAATAAGGACTTTATTCTATAAAGTCATCCTTCAATCTCCAATGCTCCGAGATGAAAGTCCCAGCCTAGTCAGTCTCTTTCTATAGCTCAAACCCTCCAGTCCTGGCAATATCCTTGTAAATCTTTTGTGGACCCTCTCAAGTTTAACAACATCTTTCCTGTAGTAGGGAAACCAGAATTGCGTGTATTTCAAAAGTGGCCTAACCAATGTCCTGTACAGCTGCAACATGACCTTCCAACTCCTATACTTTGTGCACTGACCAATGAAGGCAAGTGTGCCAAACACCACCTTCACCACCCTGTCTACCTGGGACTCCACTTTCAGGAACTGTGCACCTGCGACCATCGGTCTCTTTGTTCGGCAACACTTCCCAGGGCACTGTACAAGTCCTGCCCCGGTTTGCCTTACCAAAATGCAACACCTCATATTTATCTAAATTAAATTCCCATCTGCCATTCCTCAGCCCGTTGGCCCAATTGATCAAGGTCCCATTGTACTCAAAGATAATCTTCTTCACTCTCCACTACACCACCTGTTTTGGTGCCGCCACAAGCCAACTTACTGTACCTCTTATATTCACTTCCACGTCATTCATGTAAATGACGAAAAGCAGTGGACCCAGCACTGATCCTTGTGGCACAGTCCGATAAACAACCCTCCACCATCTGACTCCTACCTGAACTCCAATTGGCTAATGACCAGAGTATCTCCTCTTCCTGATACTGATTGAGAGACAAATATTGGGCCATGCATGCAGAAATTCCTGTTCTTCCTGCAGATAGTAGCGAGGATCTTTCAGATGCACCTGAAAGCAGCTCGGGGAGAATCCTCGATTATATATTCCTATCTGAAGATTGGCACCTCCAGTAGTGCAGCACCCCTTCAGTACTGCTCGGGAGAAAGAGAACCTCAAACAGTCACTGGCCGGGTAATCCAGAGCCCCGGGCCTCTGCTCTGAGGACACGGTTCAAATCTGGAATTGGAAGCTAGTTTCTGTGATGGTGCCCTTGAGAGCTAACATCAATTGTCATAAAAACCCATTTGCCTCACTAACGCTCTTTAGAATTCACCAAAATGTGACCCCCAGATCCATAGCATGCGGTTGACTCTGAGCTGCCCTCAGAAATGACTGAACAAGCCTGTCAGTTCATGAATGAAGACCTATAAAATAAGTCTCTGCAGTGCTGGGAGGGTCAATGTTGATGTTGCAGCATTGGTACCAATGTGTTGGGGTGTTGGCATCAGCAGCTGGTAATAAAGTACAGCGTGCTAATGTCTGGAAGGGTATATTCTGACAGTCAGCAAGGCACAGCACGTGCAGAGCCTGAAAGCGGCGCAGTAAACCTGAACAAGCTCCTCTCTGCTTCCACAGGCCTCGTTCAGAAGCTGGACCACAAGTTACCCGTCTCCAACGAGTACCTGCTGCTATCCGGGGGCGTGCGGGAAGGGGTGATCGACATGAACCCGGACGAGCTGGGCGACTACGCCAGGGGCACGGACTACGACGTCGACTTCACGCTGCTGGTTCCGGCGCTGAAGCTCCACGACCGCAACCAGCCGGTGACGCTGGACATGCGCCACTCGGCGCCCTGCCACTCATGGCTCAGCCTGCGGCTCTTCGATGAGAGGACCATGGAGAAGTGGAAGGACTGCTGCACGGAGACGGAGCCCGGCCCGGCGGGTGCTGGCAGCTACTACTTCTCGCCCACCAAGGTGGCAGACTGGTTCTTCCGCTCGGTGCATGCCGTCATCGAGGAGGTGCGCCGGCACCCGCAGCGCGGGGTTCCCAGCGTGGCGGCGGTGGAGAAGAATGGCACGGTGGTGTCCATCATCCTCAATGTGGGCCGCAGCCGCATGCTGTACGACATCGTGCCCGTGGTGTCCTTCAAGGGCTGGCCGGCCGTCGCCCAGAACTGGCTGATGGAGAACCACTTCTGGGACGGCAAGATCACTGAGGAGGAGGTGATCAGCGGCTTCTACCTAGTGCCGGCCTGCTCCTGCACCGGCACCCCGGAGAATGAGTGGCGCCTGGCTTTCTCGCGGAGCGAGGTGCAACTGAAGAAGTGCATCTCCGTGCCCCTGATCCAGGCTTACCAGGCGTACAAGGCCATGATCGTCAAGCTGCTGTCAAGGCCTCGGGCCATCAGTCCCTACCACCTGAGGAGCCTGATGCTGTGGGCCTGCGACCGCCTCCCCTCCAGCTTCCTCGGGCAGGAGGAGAACACGGCGCACTTCCTCCTGGGCCTCCTCGACGACCTGGCCCACTGCCTGGTCAACAAGTCATGCCCCAACTACTTCCTGCCGCAGTGCAACATGTTCGAGCAGCTGTCCGACAGCGCGGTGCTGCTACTGGCCTGCCGCCTGTCGTCGGTGCGTTCGGACCCCGCCGAGCACCTGCGCAGCGCCATCGAGCACGCCAAGGCAGCCAGCCGACTCGCCCAGGAGCTGCGGCAATCCACGCCGGGCCTGGCCTCCTCCCAGTCGGATGGGGTGTTGTCCGGCGCTGGCCGGCAGGATGACAGCCTAGCCCGCAAGCTCCAGCAGCTGGTGACGGAGAACCAGGGCAAGTCTATCTCTGTCTTCCTCAATCCGGACGACGTCAGCAAGCCTCACTTCAGGATCGATGACAAGTTTTTCTGAAGGAGCGGGCCGCGGCGCTGTCTGTCCGATGCAACTGTCTTCCCTCCTCGCCTGCCTTCAGCCCCCGCACGCTGCATTGTGGGCTACTGGTAGTCGTGATCTCCCCTTGCATTGTGGGATACTGGTAGTCGTGATCTCCCCTTGCACTGTGGGATACTGGAGGTCACACTTTGCAATGGGCCTCACTGAACTGAGAGACACGTTGCTGAAGCGTCCTTCGGGACAACTGCAAGATTGCCAAGTTTAGAATGATGGCAGTGACCCGAACTGCAGGAGACAAGAGTGCCAATTGGTTGGCAATTTGACTCTGGACTGCAGCATTGCCGTGGAGAAAGCTATAGACACCTCAGGCATCTGGGTAATTCCTTTTCTTAAAACAGAAGTAAGATTTAAACACATTCCTTTTTGTTTGCAACTTTTGAAACAGTGTCACTTTCAGCTAGTGCAAATGAGCCACAGCAACGCCTCAGTCAATCAGAGTCAACTTGCTAACCATATTGGGGCCCTTTTTCCCCTGTGGTGTAAATTGTTGTGATCAGTGCGTTTTGGCATTCTTGTGTTTTGTCCTGATAAGTGCAAGACAAAAAAAAACTTGGACAATGTATCTCTCTTCACAGCAATTTCAGGTTCTGTTCTACAAGTGAAATGATTGCAATGGATGTTTAACAATAGTTCTCAAGGTTACAGGTGAGCCATTACTTACCTTTTTTTTTTAAAAAACTTTATTCGTCTTTCCTGTTGTGAGAGGAGGGGTTTGAAATGGCAGTTTATAAGAGTGTCCAGCCAATTAATTGTTGCCTAGTCTCTCTGACTAATGTAAAGCAACTCAAAACCAGCATTGCTGAGTTAGAATCCTTAGGTTACATGTCACGTTTGTAACCTCCGTATTTGAATTTCCTGTGCTGTCTATAGGACCAGATCTCAATGCCCGACACAAGGACTGATAACTCGACTGTACAATTCTTGATCCATTCTGTCTTTGTGGATTCTGGACTGTCCTGTAAAAGGAATGGTTAGTGCTGTGCACTGTTACTGGGTGCAGGCTGCTGACTGCTGATGAGGCCTGACAACAGTGCAATATTGTAGTGCGTTTAAATTGCATTGTCCTCACTCTGGTGCGAGGCACAGCCATTATCAAGGGGACGGCACTGGAAGCAGCTGATGGGTTCGGTCAGACTGAACTGCATCCTGAATGGATTTGGGATGGGTGGCTCGGATAGTTTGTCCGGATAGTCATTTCTATCAATGAAGCCTCAACTCGTTGATACTTTTGCTTTGCGTTCCAGTTTCATGGAAATTTTTATCATTTATTTCGAAAGCAGTGTGATTTCCAGCAGTAGCAACACCAGGTCTGGATACTGAAGCCATTGATTTAAGTGGCCACTTGGGTGAGCACCTATATATTTAGACTGTATGGTTTTTTTCTTAATAACTTTTGGATCAGTTCTGATTTCTGCTGGAAGTATTTTTTCTATTTGACTCTGTCTTTGTCTATCTCTCGCTGTATCTCTGTCTGCCCTTCCTCCTTTCTTCCCCCCTCTCTCTGTCTTCCCTCCCCCTTACTCCTCTGTCTATTTCTTTGCCTCTGCCTGTCTGCGCCACCCTCCCTCTGACTGAGTTGCACAGAATCTTACCAGCCCCTTAATGCATCTGCCCTGCTCTTGTCAGCCAATGGGATCGCTGTAATTAATCTTAGTGCCTTTTGGGTGAACATTAACTGCAACGGGCTGTTGGAATTGTGGAGCGATGAGATCAACATTGCCAGACAGATCTTGGAGGGGATATCTGCAAAGTTTAATTTTATTGCTGCCATCCTGCGTACACGCAGTGTGACTGTGTTTCTCGGTTGATTTGATTCTAGTACGGTTGGCCTCGGGATCCTTTGGGTAAGGGGTGCTGGGGGCAGAGGGGAGATAGTAAGGTGGCAGGAAAGTGTTGATCAGGGCATCTGGAAGGAACTGAGTATGTGAGACCATCTCTGTTGCCCACTGCAGATCACCATCCCTCCCCGTGCTGCGACTTGGGGTCTATGGTCAGCCCAACCCTAGGTTGTCCCAGCCTTGGCACGGGATGCCCACAGAAACTGACAAGTCGCCAGTCCACTGCCTGGAGCTGTTTACCCACTTGAGTTGACCAATGGTCAGCTGTGATCAGGGTGGGACGTTTACTGCGTGTGACCCAAAGCTTGTGTGCTCAAACAGATGAGGCAGGGTGTTTTTATGTTTGCACTTGAGGCGTGAGCGCAGTCAGGGCGTACAGGAAAGGACAGGTGAAGGGGGGTATGCAAAGTAGCTGTCCTGAGGCCTACCTCTGCTGAAAAGGGTTCTTGCCGAGGTGTGGGGTGGGGGGGTGCAGGGGGTACCAGTCGCCCCTAAGGTTGGGCAACATGCCATCGGTGACCCCTAATCACTGACGGCTGGTGGTTTCCACCACACACAAGCACATTAGTGGGTGAGCACAGGGATCACTGATACAGTGTGTGCTGTCAGCCAAAATGGATGGAGGTGGTCAGCCTGTTTAAATGGTGACATAGTGCCACGTCATTGACTATAACATGCGCTTAGCTGCGCTGGCATTCAATGTGTCATGTTTGTCCAGTTGGGCATCAAATATGTACCAAGTATCAAGCTAGTCTGCCACCTCGATGCTGTCTCCTAGCTGCTCCAAATGTGGGGTTGGTGGTTCGAACTTGGGTGGCGAAACTAATGTGGTGGGGCGGGCGGGGGGGATGTTGGAAGAAAGTGGGGAGTGTTGTGGCCACAGGATTAGCGTAAGGTAGTCATTCAGTAATTCAGACTATATCAAAAGCTCAATTTAATCACCTCTCCTCTGCCTCACCAAACATTGTGACAGGGAGTGAATACACACCTCACACTGGCGCATGTCCCCCAGCAGAAGGAGGTGGCAAGGACTGTCGGGTCAGTTTTTGGAAAAACAAATGTTGGACGCCTCCAACCACCCTTTGTCCAACAGGCCGCTTGAGTTATCATGGCAGTGGCAGCAGAGACAGGAAGGTAAGGAGGTACATCCTGCTGTCTCCCTGGGTGCCCCAGGTGCCCAAAAAGCTCTGTGAGTGTCAGCGTACTCCGTCACAGGAAGCCACATACACCCGCCCCCGACCCACCTGGTATTGGAGACCCTGAGTCAGCACCACTGCCTCACAGCGCCAGGGACCCGGGTTCGATTCCACCCTCGGGCGACTGTCTATGTGGAGTTTGCACATTCTCCCTGTGTCTGTGTGGGTTTCCTCCCACAGTCCAAAGATGTGCAGGTTAGGGTGGACTGGTCATCCTAAATTGTCCCATAGCATCCAGGAATGTGCAGGCTAGGTGGGTTAGCCTTGGGAAATGCAGGGTTACGGGGATAAGGTAGGGGTGTGGGTCTGGGTGGGATGCTCTTCAGAGCGTCAGTGTGGCCTCAATGGGCGAAATGGCCTGCTTCCACACTGTAGGGCCTTCCTGGCCATACCCGAGAAGGTGATCCGCAGAGGTCAGACAGGAGCCAGCAAGAACCAGTGCATTTGACCCATCCCCCGGCAGTGCCAGCTCTGCTACAGATTTAGGTGCGTCCCAGTGTGTGCTGTAAACTTTGCCCCACAAACTAGGAGCAGCCTTTTACAAAGTTTACAAAGCACTGCCGCTGGAATCTGAGTATGAAGCTTTAAGGGTCCAATTGCTGATCGACTCTGCAGGAATTCTGATATTCTGGAGAGATTTAAAAAATAGCAGCTATTATCCAGTAATACAGTTAGTTACATGAGACTGCCAGAAATCAGTGACCTGATATTTGGGTTTTCAACTGGTGCTGGTCAAGTCAAGCTCGAATGCAACTTTCCCAAATGTGTCTGTTTTTGTTTTATACTTTCTCCTTTTTGTCTTTCCTCCATTTTGTTTTTAACCTCCACCTCTTCGTCCAATGTCGATCCTGACATCTCTCCTGCATTTTATTTCTGCCAGCTTGCTCTCCCCTGAAACTGAGAGTTTTATAGCCAGAATGAGGCCTTTTGGTCCATCGTGGATCAAGCACCCATCCACTCTGATCCCATTTCCTGAAACTTGGCCTGTATCCTTGAATGTTGCAGCATTTCAAGTCTTTATCTAAATATGTCTTAAAAGTCGTGATGGGTCCTGCCTGTATCACCTGGTGTGAACATTTAAAAGGAGAGTGTAGGCCGCGGTCTTACAACGACAGAGTTTTGTTTTTAAAAAAGTGTAGTTGAAGAGACGTGCTTCTGAGGTTGGCATGGAATTAGGGTTTGGGGTGGGGTTGGAGCTACATCCGGGCCCAATAACCATGGTCTGGGACTCTGAGGGCTAGCTTCAGGGTCCGTGTTTTCTGTCTCTGGCCTTGCTGCTGGAGTACAGCTCGGCACTACCTCCGGGAGCAGGTTGCAAAAGGCAATGTCCTTCCTTTCTCGAGCTGTCGTCGCTGGTGCTGAGCTGCTGCTTCCTCATTCACAGGGGCTGTGTGCCTAATCTCTGTTTCCCGCACCCAACATTGACTGGACCTTTTGACACTTGCGTCAGATTTGTAGCATCGAAGTGTGAAAACCGGGGTTCTGCCTTGCCACAAGAGACCCGCAGAGAGCATTGGGGTTTGTGTCATCCTACATTGCATTTTGTCTGGAGGGTGGACTTGGGATGGGTTTCTCTTGGAGCTGCGCAAGTCATTTGGCCAAAGTGTAACCTTGTCACTCCTTCACTGGGACAGACAGTGCGCGCAATTTCGAAGCAGTGTCTAATGTAACTTATACCATTGTCAGAAAGTGCCTGCAGCCCAACTACGATTGTATTTGCGCGCATCATGAATGTTGAGACTATTACACTGGAAGCTGCATCCCCCAACACTAGTTCTACAGGGCTGCAATGAAACAGACCAGCCTGGTGGTTTAACATACTTGTGCCTCAACTTTATCAAGGTTTGCATTCAGACAGCAGCTTTTGTCCATACCTGCATACAGCCAGCTGTAGCCTCCAAGCTAAACGGTCCAGGATTGAGTAGCTGGGGAAACAAGGGAGCGCTCTCTTGCATTTTCATTCAAGCATTGTATTCAAATGCTTTTCTGTTGCAGCTGTGGAGTTACACAGCTAGGAGACAGTGCGCGCCGTGACTTGGGAGCTGCCAGCATGATGTGTGTTTTTCGTTTTCTCCTTTTGCTCAGGCAGACAGCTGGTAATCACCCCAAAAAATGAAAGCTGCATTGTATGCGACAGTAAACTCATGTAGAAAGATGCAATTGAACAATAGAGCAAGCATGAACCCTGCATGTACTGTTGAACCTGCAAAGCAGCTCCTCCCTGAGTGAGGGATGTGTACTTCTCTGCAAATGCGCTTTCCCTCTCTACTACTTTGTGATGCGATTCTTGAATGTATAGCCGGGCACTTGAATTCTCCCCATCCTCCTGCAGACTCCAGTTGCAGTACGGTTATAACAGCCTGGCCTTCTACAATAAAGCAAAAGAACTGGGGATCTTGGAGATCTGAAACAAAGGAAAGCAGAAATTGCTGGAGAAACTCATCAGGTCTTGTCCATCTCTACACTGATTGGGCATCCATTGAGGATGAACCAGGTTGTGCCACTCCAGATGTGGTTCGTGGGGTGGGGAGTGGGGGCGGGTGGTGCTGGGTGCTGCATTTGGCAAGCTTTTAAACTCCCTACAACTTGGCCTAACTGGGCTTGTATTGTTCACCACACTATAAAAAGCTGTATCCTCTGGTGAATGAATCCCAAACTGGGAATGCCACCCTCTGTCCAGGGTCTCAGAAACAAGAACAGGAATTGCTGGAGAAAATCAGCAGGTCTGGCAGCATCAGAACTGTTCTGAAGAAGGGGCAGCAGACTCGAAACTTTAGCTGTGTTTTCTCTCTCCATAGATGGCAGCTGTGTGCCATAAGGATTGGTGCTGGGTCCACTGCTTCTTGTCATCTATAGGTATGATTTGGATGTGGAGAGAGGTGATATGGTTAGTATGTTTGCGGATGACACCAAAATTGTTGGTGTAGTAGACACTGGAGGTGTACAGTGTCGGAGTACAGTGGGATCTTGATCTGATGGGCCAGTGGGCTAAGGAGTGGCAGATGGAGCTTAATTTGGATAAATGTATGTTGCATTTTGGAAAGGAAAATCAGGGCAGGACTTATAAAGTTAATGGTAGGGCACTGGGCACTATTGCTGAACAAAGAGAAAAGGTGTTAAGGTGCATAGCTCCTTAAAAGTGGAGACACAGGTAGACAGGGTAGTCAAGAAGTTGTTTGATACACTTGCCTTTATGGCCAGTGCAGTGAGTATAGGAGTCGCGAGGTCATGTTGCAGCTGTACAGGACATTGGTTAGGCCACTTCTAGAATACTGCGTTCAGTTCTTGTCTCCCTGCTACAGGAAGGATGTTGTTAAACTTGAAAGGGTTCAGAAAAAATTTACAAGGATGCTGCCAGGGTTGGAGGGTTTTGAGCTACAGGGAGAGGCTGAGTAGGCTGGGGCTATTTTCCCTGTAGTGTTGAAGGCTGAGGGGTGACCTTATAGAGGTTTACAAAATCATGAGCATGGATGGGGTGAATAGCCAAGGTCTTTTCTCCAGGGTAGGGGAGTTCAAAACTAGAGGGCATAGGTTTAAGGCGAGAAAAAGATCTGAGGGGCAACTTCTTTACACAGGGTGGTGCATGTGTGGAATGAGCTGCCAGAGGACGTGGTGGAGGCTGGTACAATTATAATATTTAGAAGGCATCAGGATGGGTACGTGAGTAGGAAGGGTTTAGAGGGATATGGGCCAAATGCTGGCAAATGGAACTCGAACAGTTTAGGATATCTGGTCGGCATGGATGAGTTGGACCAAAGGTTCTGTTTCTGTGCTGTATGACCCTATGTTGAGTTTCTCCAGAAATTTCTGTTTTGGTTTCCGATTTCTTTGTTTTATTTTTCTGTTGGGGTCCCCCTCCCTCCAGCTTCTAACACTAATTTAACCACGGCCTCCTGGCCTTTATTTCGTCAGTACACTAAATGGACTGTTTGCTACTCACTCAGCTTTGAGGATGACGGTCCTTGTGAGGGGGTAATAGTTCTTCTGCATTTCCGAATACCTCTGGGTCTTACGTTATCCACTACTCAGCGCGAGTGTCAAATCTGTCCCCACAGACAGCGACAAACTTTCTGCTTGAAGGCTTCAAAGGACAGTTTTCCTTTTTTTGAAAAAGCAAAATCCAGGATTGGACTGCACTTTCTCACTCATCGCAAGCTGCTTCGTGGAAGACTATCCCACTTGTACATAAGGAACATGTACTCAGGGAAGGAGGGAAGTAGACGGCTTGCAAATATATCATTTAAAAAAGAAAAGTCTGATGAATTGAATGTCTGCACAGTTAAATTAATCAATATTGGTGTACATTTCATGCTTTTTGTATATTTTAAAGACATACCAAAGTCTCCTTTGCTGCTGTTGATGCTTAGAATGTGTCGTCTGTTTCACAGCAAATAAACATGCAGTAAGTACTGGTCGTCGTTTCTTTGTTTATTTTGCTTCTGTGCGTGTGTTGGAAAGGAACAGAAGTTCAGGCCCTGAATTTTGTTATAACTCATTCATAGTTGAGCTGCAGCCTGACACGGTTTACCCACTGTTACTGCATTGTCCACCAGTATCTTTGGTTCACTGCAGTCACATGTCCAACTCGGATTTGACAAGTGATCGAGCAGCTGTAACTGCTGTGGAAGAGAGTTTCAAA